TTTTCACTGGGGCGAGAGTGAAAAAAATCTACTCTAGAAGCTTATTGACATCGAGTATGCAGTTTGGTGTCTACAAATTTTCTAGAAACCAGGTCTTTTGTAAGGTCATTCTGGATCAGAATTGATAAGGTACGCAATTTCTATCATTAATCCCAATCCTAGGGGGAAATTTCTAAATTATCCTCAGGCACAAATATATATGACTTTTCTATCTCGGCTTCTGAACTTTGAAGGGGCCTCTCTTTTATCTCAAATTAACTGCAAAGGCCACATTTATCTACAAGCTATAAAGCAACATAGGGTTTATAGTGCTTAGTTTTGGAGATATTCATTAATTTAAACTGTTTTAACTTTCGTGCATCCTAAATTAGTAACACATGTACTTAATTTTGGTATCCCGGGCTAAAAAAGTCTTACAGACACTTCACTTGCAGCAGAGTGTGAAACGGCAGTGAGAGTGTGAAACGGCAGTGAGAGTGTGCTACTTCCTGCTCTATCTAGCTTCCACCGTCGTGTCTTGTGCTATCCTCAATGACCCTGTAAGATGGTCATTCATGAAAATTTAAGTCAAAAAATTGAAATATGGGTCGAGGAAAGCTGAAATTCGAATATATCCTACCGGTCGCGGTAGGACATATTCAAAATTTTCATCGTGCAACTTAAAGTGAACAGTTTCCAATTCTTACGTTCTTTTCTTTTTCAAATAATTTATTCTTTTTCGTAGAATAAGTTTTATTTTTCTTCTCTCTTCTACTCCCTGACTGATCTTTTCGACCTGAAATGCAATCGTAATATTTACTAATAGTAATAAAGAACAACTAATGTTCATTGTTATATTCAAATCAAAACCTTGCACACTTTACTTGTCTATGTAATAAGGGATTATTCACATTTAAAAGGCAACTTTTGGTACCAAATTGATTGCAATCGGAGGAAAAAATTCTGTGCCCGGGCCGCGCTTGTCGCTTATTACACTGAATATACCTTAGTTCAAGTTTATAACTTACTACTTTTATGATCGAGTCAATATGGACGTAAGTCAGATGACCTGACGGCTTGGTGGAACCCTTTCCCTCTTTGTAGTCTCCAGGCCAGGAGAGGAGATTAGGATCGATGATATCGTCATCAACTAGTATAGTAATACATTTGTTGACTAGGACATTCACCGACCCTGTCCCCACTCCTGCCTCAAGCCGCCAGGTCATCAGAGTATCAGCCATGTCCGGCTGATAGTCCCTTATCAGCCGTTTTCTTATCAGGGGGCCGGGGGGTCCAGAGACACGGGGACCAGCTGCTGAAGATATAAATCAGTCACCACAAGTATCAATAACCAATAAAAATAAAGTTTCATAAAATGTGCCCAATTATAAAGGTGATGAGTCAAACAATTGCCTTGGGATATCTTATATGTTAAATAATTAACATACCTGCAACATTAACGTGAAAACGGCAAAGCTTATCTATTGTCTTCTTGAGTTCTTTGACTTCGTTCTCTGATGGGTTGCAATAAATGTTTAGCACAAAAAAAAATAGCAGAGGGTACCAAGAAATTTGAAATACATCTTGATTTAGCTGATATGCAACATTTTATTGAAGCTCCCTCTCATCACATTAAACAATTTGCACTTTTCAGATAAAATGTATGTTGTACCAATTTTAAAACCTTGTAAAAGAATATAAACGAAGATCCCTCGAAGTTTAATTTTTTTGTAGCTGTAGCAAATTATTAATTATATCCCCGCAAACTGCAAAGGGTACCTACCTATGAAATATAATATCGAAAAGTCCAGAAGTCGGTATCGAGAAGTTATTGACTAAAGCAGTCGGGTATTGAAGTCAAGCTGCACTGTATCCAAGACTATGGGACCTGTCTGGAAGAAATTTCTGAGAAATGAATTGTAGCTAACCAGGCCAGACTCTATAGTGTTGACAATTTTGGAAGAATATGCCTAAGTAATCTGTTTGCACTGAGAATGAGACGTAAGCAGAGCGTGAAACAGCTGCTGCTTTATTATAATATTTTCCGGGACTTATATGCACTAAAACTCGTGGACACTGAGAGCTGATAATTTGCAGATATTTCCCGCTAGAGAAGCGAAGTTATTATCAGCACAGACTGCGAGTCACCTCAGGCTTCTTTTCGGGCCACGCGTTCCCTACAGCAAGCTGTCAAGAATTATCACCCGTAGCCCTCAAAAGCCTGTATTATAATAAGACGTAAGAGCACTACTTTGTATTTATAGAACTTAAAAATCATAAACGGGATCGGAACTGACTTTCCCTCGCCCTCGTCAGTAAATGGAAATGGGTGAATAGTGTTTTATAAATGAGAATGGATAAATGATAGTTGATAAACGAGAGTTGATATTTACTAGAATTGGTAAATGAAGGTTAAAAAGACTGACTTTTCACTCCTAATAAATCCCGCTTTAATAAGGATAGCCGAATTATTCAAGAATTTTAACGAATCAAATGATCTTATTCAAAATTTAGCCGAAGGTAGTTACTACCTTACTCGGGAACATTATAGCGGGTTAATTTATGACTGGGAAAATTAATGACGGGAAAAATATGGCGGAATTTTCCAAAACCCACCACTTTATCCCCTAGTCATAATATTCCCGAGTAGTACGTTATTCAGCTATTCATTTCCATTAGAATCTGCCTTCACTGAGTCTATTCAGAAACAATCAGAAATTTGAATAAAAGAACTATCAAATCATGAGACTCAAAAACACTACACGAATCCACCAGATTCCCGCGTAAGGTATGCAATTATCTATGGAATCGGATTCATCGATGGATTAACAGTCATAAATGGCGATGTGCCTTCAAATATGTTAAGAGCGTCGTGTTATAGCTGCAGAGTAGGTCACACCGTGCTGGTGACTTGAATACTGTTCCTATATAATGTCTATAATGTCTATAATACCTAGTATAGTAAGTTTTTATCTTATACAAAAATTACCGTCACAACCGAAGTTACAGCCGGTTAAATTGTACTGAAAAATGAACTCAACGTTTAAAAAAACAAAAATCTATCAAAATGTCGCTGCAATATTTATTGCATGTGCACACGTGCGCCTTTCCATCACATCGTAACACACTTAGGAATCAGGGCAGTCTACAAGAAGCCCGACTGGTCCATGGACCACTGGTCTATGGACTGGACCACTCTAGGTGGTCCATGGACCAGTGGTCCATGGATCACCTTATCACTGAATAAGTGGTCCATGGACCACTTTACCAAGGTCCATGGTATCAGCAAGCACTTTAGCTTCCATTATCATATGATCCAATCATACGGTAGACTTCTTCGCTAAGATTGCAAGATGTCAGTATTAACTACGAAAAACGTCGCAGAGATATATAAGATGAATTGTGGTACACAGCCATCGTCGTTTTCGATATACACGACAGATACTTGTACACCACTACTGTGTTTTCAATATGAGCCACTCACTACACAACGAAATCCATCGGATAACAAATACAGAGGAGCATGCAAGGGATTTCCTCTTTCAACGTGGTCCTCTGAAGTCCTCTCTTTCCTGTCCTGGCTGCTCTTCTGCTATGAACCTTGTACCCTGCTCCTCTAAGAAGTCCTCAGACCTTCTCATCTGGCGGTGTTCACCCTGCTCACGGTTTAGGAACATACGAACGGATAGTGTACTCTCTGGACAGAAGCTCACCTTCTCACTATTCCTACAGCTGGTTTTCTACCTCAGCATCAAATCCCTTGTAAATGTAGCTATCTCTCAGCTCATAGGAGTATCAGAGAACACCATCAGTGACTGGAAGACCCTGAAACATACAAGAGTAGCTGACTTTCTGGTATCCAATCCCTCTCCTCTCGGTGGACCTGGTGTTGTCGTGGAGATGGATGAGGCCAAGTTCGGAAAACGCAAGTACAATAAAGGAGCTTACAGAGAAGGGCAGTGGGTGCTTGGAGCTGTAGATCGGAGCAACGGTAACTGTTTCCTACTACCCTGTCCGAACAACAGCAGAGGCGCACCCACACTACTCCCTCTGATTCAACGCTGGATCCTCCCTGGTTCTGTTGTCTATACTGACGAGTGGGGAGCCTATAACAGCCTAACTACCGCTGGCTACACTCATCACACCGTCAACCACTCGATCCAGTTCGTGGACCCGGCAACTGGCGTTCATACTAACACTCAGGGAGGACTTTGGGCTCATGTGAAAAAATCTGTTGTAGGAAAAACTGACTTGGAACTAGCTCTTGTTGATTTTCATGTTTCGTAGAAGATTCCATGCCACACTGAGCAGATTCTCGAAAGATTAGAGAGTGGTGACGATCCACTCAACCTGCTACCTAGAGACCCTTCTCCTCTACCTACCTCCCCAACTGTCGACTCTCCCCTCAACCTCATCGAGATACCGCCTCCTCAACCACTACCAGAGAGCTCGGCAGGACCTATCAGACGGAGGAATACCACACGGAGCAACATGGAAGCAGCAATCCATCAACAATATCCTCTTGTTTTGGAGATGGTGAAGAGTGGGACGAGCGCAAGGCAGACTATTCAGCAGATTCAGATGCCCAGATCAACGTTCTACAAGTGGCGTTTTGTTGCAGAAATGAAGCTTGTCGACTCCTCACACTATCATCACCTAGCTGATCAGTTCAAGGGAACCAAGCTGTGTGATCAATGCAAATACTGTTTATTTGAGGACTCGGCCTTTCTCACAAAGGCAGAGGAGATGAGGAAGAGCTCCGACCTCCTCCCTCTATCTATGTAAATTGTATGTTATTTACTTTTGTAATACTTATTATACATATTGCAATCATGAAGATGCCAATTTCAATTGATAATAAAAAATTAGATATAATCTTCATGAGTTGACTTATGGTGGTACATGGACCACTGTACCTTGGTGAAGTGGTCCATGGACCAGTAGTCCATGGACCAGTAGTCCATGGACCAGTAGTCCATGGACCAGTCGGGCTTCTTGGAGAATGCCGGAATCAGGATATAAGAGACAGAAGCAAATAGGAAATTTGTAGCAGTAGGGAGTTAAATTAAGGAAAGTTAGATAGTAGAAGATCTCACAACGCAAGGTAGAATTTATAAACTGTAGAATTAATAAATGGGAACTTGTATAAATTATGATAATTGATAGTTGATGAATGAGAGTTTGATAACAAATCAACTGTTACCTCAATTCTCTAGTCGTTTTAGACGCAGAATCATCCACACTACCTGACTTCTTCTGATGTCAAGTCCAAACTATAATATACTCTGGAGTTAAACTATGAAAGTTTGAACAACTAACTCGAGCTACTAGAGAAAAAACATTGTGGGTTTAAAGATTTATATACAGATTAAAGATTTATACCGTCATATAATAATAATTAGTCAATTAATTAATTTGTAGAGCATGAATATTGCCAAATCGTTACACACTCAGGATTCAGTATACGAGATACAGAAGTGAATATCCAATTGACTTTCCTGAAAAGGCAGGGTGTTAAATTACGGAAAGTAGAAGATCTCACAACGTGCAAGGTAGATAAACAAAATAGAGAATTTATGAACTAGCGTTGATAAATGAGAGTTGATAAATGAGAGTTGATAAATGAGAGTTGATAAATGAGAGTTGATAAATTAGAGTTGATAAATGAGAGTTGATAAATGAGAGTTGATAAATTAGAGTTGATAAATGAGAGTTGATAAATGAGAGTTGACAAATGAGAGTTGATAAATGAGAGTTGATAAATTAGAGTTGATAAATGAGAGTTGACAAATGAGAGTTGATAAATGAGAGTTGATAAATTAGAGTTGATAAATGAGAGTTGATAAATGAAAGTTGACAAATGAGAATTGATAAATGATAAATGAGAATTGATAAAATATGAGAGTTGATAAATTACCTATGTTCCTCCAATTCTGGACGGGGGCGGGGGCGGGAGCTTCGTACACCTCAGTACGTTGGGAGGCCTGACAAAATATTTTCAAATTATCACAACTACTCCATCTTTATTATACATATTATTGAAATACATTATCTGACAAAAGATTACGGCAAACAGATTATCAGAGCTACATTTAAATCGGCTGTATTTTAGGTTGTGACGGATATTTGTTGATGCTATAAAAACTTGCTAACAAAAATACTATTAGCTTCCTGATCCCTTGTCCACGGATTTTCTAGTTATATTATATAATATTGAAGTAATAATTCGTTTCCAGTGATTAAAGTCACTTCATAGACAACCATATCAAAACCATTTACCGGAGGCAAGATGACTTCTTGGACTGTTTGGAACAAATCGTCATCAAGGTCGTCAATAATAGACCTATTTCCCAATGTGGTCAACTGCGTGGACTCTTGTGACAGATGGTCTTCTATCTGATTGAAAAGATTATTTATGTAAATGATAATTTCTCCGATAAATCAACACTAGTTATTTTAATATTTTCTCATCTCTTTGAAAGGGAAAATATAACATAATGATCACAATTAACAATCAATGCAATACCATAACAAATAAAATTTCAGTCAATCGAAATGAAAATTATTTCTTAACAAAATGTTTCCTATGGATGAATGAAAGAATTGTTTAGTGTAAAACTGAAATTAAAATTGATCAAAAAGAATAAACGAAATCAAACCTCCATCCTGTACGGCTCCATTTCCTCCATTTCCACTACTGCTTCCTCTTCTTCTACTTCCTCCTCCTCTGTCTCTTTTAAAATATCTTTCAGGTAGGCCTGACCCATCTTCTTGTCTAAGGATAAACTCTTTGAATGTTTTGCAGAAGCTGTCTTGGATGCAAATAGTCTTGGAATAAGCAGTATGATTATTTATATGGTAAAAAATAATAAAATATTACTCACTGTAGGCAACTGAAAGTATTTTGCCCATGTGTAAGGTCCCGTGCCACCTTACTTGTACTATTTTAGACAGCTGAATGTCCTTATCTAACACCTGAAATAGTAAATATAATTATAAACCAAAGATTTTGAGCTGGAGCCAAGACTGGTAAGCGGGCCGACCTGAAATAGGAGCTACAGTGTGGTGCAGGCCACTCCAATGACAAATGAGTAGACCTTTTCAAGTACAAGTAGTAAGAATACAGAGTAAAACCCCAATTTTCCAGAGTATGGGGAAGGGTTAATCGAGGGTAAATTAATTACATTATGGATGTTGAGCCCTTATTTGTGAAAAATGATAACATCACAGTAAATTGATGTGATGTTTGCAAAGAAATGGGACAGTGGATTCAAGTGTTTCAAGATTCAAACAAAAATTTGGCGCACAGCAGGGTCAGCAGGGCCCTCTATTGGGGAGCAGTACATGGAGGTTTTACTGTACATACAAAATTTTGTGAATATTGTTTAAATATGATAAGTTTATACATATTTAAAAAGTACTTACATCTTTTCTCGGTATCAGTTCTGGGGCGAAGTTGCCCTCCTGCCATTTTATAATAAGGTGCGATACATGTTCCATTTCTTTAATAAAACAAAAGTTTAATAAAACAAAAGTTAATTTTATAGTATTCTTACATTTTAAAGTTGAGAAGATTGCTCTAGAAAGAAAATACTACAATATAATCAAGGTACGATGTTGGATACTTGAGTTCTATATCTTTCGATAGCAACTCCATCTATGTATCTGCTTAGCTTCCATCACTGATCCTGGTACTTGAGATTCCAGGTGTGGCTTTAAACAATGTTTTAAGGGCCCAACACTCAGCTCACTCAGTTGATGCATGGTAGAACAGTGGGTCTTTGTGCGATGTTGTAGCAGGGACTCCACTTCTTGTTTTCTCTTGCTAACCAGATTGCATAGGAACATCTGAGAGCAACCAAAGCCGCCTCTTGGAACACTGCTTTCTTTACTCTCTTTGTAACACCAAAGTAGTTTAGTAGGGCTGGTAAGGTATGATGCCAGAAGCCTCTACACCCAACCTCTACCGTAAAAAGCTGAGCTTTCCACCCACTGCCATGCAGCCCAGGAATAAGCTCTCTGTTGTAACGTGCTTGTTTACGTTCTGCTTGGTCACTAAAGTTACTCTCGTCACGACTTGAAGTGCTGCTAGAACTAAAAGACGGCTTGTAACCCAAGTCGCTTTGATTTTTCAGGATATCCATTAGTAGGTTGAAAACTATTAAGAACAGTACAACCGATAGAGGGTCGCCCTGAAAAAGACCTAACATATAAAAGAACCAGTTTGTTTTCCAGTCCTTTGTCACCACTCTCACAATCAGCTCATCATAGTACTTAAACATATATTCTATGAGCCAGTTTGGGAACTTATAATGTCTTAGAGCATATATTATCAAGTTGTGGGGAACCCGGCCGTAGGCGTTCATTAGGTCCACCCAAACTGCAAAGATCTGTCGTCTATTAGATTTGGCATCCTTCAACTCTTCCATCAGAGCCTGAGTGTGCTCGAGGCAACCTGGTGTCTTACGCAGGAATCCTTTCTGGATAGACGTGTCTATTAGCTATTACTGACCATATACTCTAGCATTCTGTCCGCTAGTAATCCCATCTGCAACTTCCCACTAGTGTTTGTTTTAGTGATGTTTCTGAACTTACTAGGGTCATCTAAATCCTCAGTTTTTGCTATCAGAATGGCTTCACCTACTCGCCATTTCAGCGGGACTCTCTGGCTTTCCCATAGAGAATCCAGCAATTTGAATACTGCTTTCGCCATTTAGGAAGATTATATAAAATTTTATTCAAACAATAAACACATAATGTCACAATGACCCTATATTAGAAGAAAAAACTAAACCCTTCAACAACTCAAAGTTTTGAAAATCACTCTTGGCCTTGCGGCTCCAAGTTCAAATCTAAACTGTCTGACAAAGTTCTTTCTTGCCCCTCTTTCTCCCATTCTGGGACATCTCTTATATACCAGATATGGGACTCCATTCGGACCAGGTGATGATTTATTTCTACGGCTCTATGACTTTAAATTTAAAATTTTAGCAAAAGCTATCTAATTTTTAAATAGTTCATAGTTCGTTACCGTTTATGGTAGTACTGGCATAAAAAGGATGTGGCTGGTAAAAGGATCCAGTTTATAAGGTTTAACCATAAATGTGTTTTTGCCAAAACATAATTTTAAGAAGAATTTTTTTTGTTTAATTCTCCTTCATTTCTGCATACATAGACGGGAAGAGAGTCAATCTTTTGTTTCTCTGATGCAAATAGTGCCGTTGCTTGCTTAAACAGTTTTCCCCAATCTTGAATTTTTACTAAAATTTGTTTCACTTGAATAAATTGACCTGGCGTTAGCGCTAGAATAACATTGACTGTTTTTTCTCAAAACTTCTGTAGGATAGATGTTAAAAAATAATTTGAGGTTATTATGTGATGTTCTTGTAAGTGGACTATTCATTGTAGTGCTATGCGTTACTGTGCCGCGCCGCGCACTCAATGAGGCTTCTCATGCACAGCGATCGGCGAAATGCGCTACTCTGCCGCGCCGAGCTGAGATGAATTGACATCGTCAATTAAACTATTCAATGAAACCAGGTAATGAATTGATACATGTTACGTATCCCAAATATCAGAGAATAGTGGCATGCAACGTATGTCAAGTAATGAATGAAGAACGCATTACAATAAACTGTATTAAATGGAATAACCTAAAGGGGGATAAAAGTAAATTAAATAGGCTGACACTACCTTAGAAATTTAATACAAGTAATATAATATTATATTTATTTAAAAAATTAAAATTAAAATTCCAACAGTAGATAGACACATCCTGCCGCGCACACAGCCACAAATTTTTAAACGTGGGCGTAAGTGTCCCTCAGAAAATTAACTTTTTAAAAATGTAAACCAGTACTATTTACTAACTTGAAAAAAGTTTAGTCGAACAGCTAGATTCATCAAAATAAAGGGTGCAGGCTAGCTTTGGGGCTATACGGTTAAAGTTATGTACAACATAATTTTGTTCGGCAAAACAGTCAATGCATATATTGTAATTTATAAATAAATACAACCATATACACATTCCGCCTTACACACAGCCACGCATTGTTGACTGCAGGTACCGCGCGCAGGTTCCATTCAATTGTCATTTTGCAATTACATGTCACATTATATGCTTCACTGTCACCAAAATGTAACTTTTATCATGTGGTGACCCCCACTGTCGCTTCGCTATAGTGTAGTTTCTATAGTAGAGTTTCTACGATACAGGGGGAAATGTTAAAATATTTCTATCACGAAAATAATCGATTTTATTATTCAGCCGCGCCGCGCATCAAATTATTTATTTGCAATCATTTACACTTAAGTTGTCAAAATGCACCAGTGGGCCACGCTGTAAAGTATTGATTGGCTACGATGGCCCCATTTATATACCAACTGTAAAGCAACATAAGGTATATAGTGCTTTTTGTTTTTAAAATTCATTAAAAACCTCCATGCATCATTAAATTATGACATGAAACATATACTTTAATATGTAGGGATAAAAAGTCTTACAGAAATTTACAGCACAGTAAATCTTCAACATGAATACATTGGCATATACCACTTAGAGGGGGATATCTTTTTAAAGAATAAGTTATACGAAAAGATTTTATTAGCAGGAGCTTTCAAAATACATGTGTAAATCGTGTTTAGCGGACCATCTAACTTTAATTTTGCTATTACTGCTAAAAAATAATCAGTTTCATAAGCTCCTTCCAGCTATCTTAGGCTGCCTTCTGCACCCTCTCTGGGCTGTCTCCAGTACTGATAGGCTAATATGACAAATTAACTTGATTCATGCTGCATGGTTTCTGCCATCTGGTGGTTTAGTAGCTGGATAGAGGTAGCATTTATATCAGAGGTTGCTGGAAAGATGTAAAATTATAACTTACTGATGGTGGTAGCTGGGTAGAGTTGGCATAGAAACAATCAACTTCTCCGTGCTACTGGAGTAACTAGGCCAATAGGAAAAGGAACTTGACAAAAAAAATTTCATAAAAGAGCACACCAAACCGATATTCAAGCACAATAATATTCTAGCTATAAAAAATCTCTATACATACCACAGTTACTTTGAGCTCTACAAGATAATGAAATGACGAATATCCCTACATGAGGTTTACTTATTAGCTTATTATAACCATTGATACAAAGGCCATAATCTTTTGCCAGCTCTCCAATATCCACCTTGGTCCTTGAAGGTGCATTTTATATCCTTGAACGAAAATATAAACTAAAGTATGTTTTAGTATAGACTTTTTGTCACAACAAGACTGTAACCTATAGTAAAAACTGTAAATAGAGCCCCTAATGTCTGTAAACAATTTTCTTCTAGTCTTAATATGAGCCTTGTCTTTAAAAACCTAACTGAACTAGCATTTCGGATTTAGCTCTACTGTGTAAACCCAAACATTTTGATGGATGTCTTAGAAGATCCTAAACCATATCCAATCAATGACTACAGTTATTTCTATTTCAAATAATGCAATAAATACTTTGATTTTAGCAAAGTTAGGAATGTGTGATAGGACTAAAAGAAGACGAATTCAGAGAGAAAACGAGGACAACAATTTTTTGAAGGGTGAATTTTTAATTATCATAATTCATGATGTAAAGTAAAATACAATTGTATTAGGATATATCCTTTGAAGGTGGGTCCTTTTTTATAAAAAAAATATTCAAAACTGTCAGTCAATAATTACAGTAAGTTTTAGTAAACTTTGAACTTGCTCTTTACTTCTATTTTACAATGGATAATAACCTTTTTGCATATCAAAAATCAAGAGAGAATAGCTATAATAATTGCATCTGTTGTAAACACTTATATACCGTTTTCAGAATATGGTGATTTGACAATATCTGAGGAAACAGAAAGAGGTTTGTGATGAGTAACCGTCTTTGAATGCTTTATAACGAATAGAATTACAAATTTTTTGTTTTATTGGCTGATTTTAGATTTTTTTGACATACATTTTTTTTTCAGGAAGGTACGGCGATATTGATTATCACGACGAAATTTTTGGGATTAGTGGTAAGTAACTGCAGCTGTGTACCTCTTGTTACAATGGAGTTTAGAGGTGTTCTTTGAGTCTAAGATAGACATTATAAAATCTTGAACATTTTACTGTGAAGCTTAATTACTAATTTTAAAAAATTAATCTACTTAACAACTCAATAGTCCATACCCTTTGTACATTCCTGAGTAGTGGATATACTTTTAAGAATTTCAAATTGTTGCTATAACTCTGTTATGAACTTTTTATTGTATCAATAATCACTTTCAGAAGATACCGAAGATGAATATAATGGTATTAATCTTGGAGAAGAGCAGATTGGTACGTCATTTTAATTTTCATCCTCTTTAAGTATAAGATTAACATGATAAATTTCTGTATATTTTCAATATTCAAAATAAGCAGTGTATCATACCACTGACCTAAGGTTTTGTGCCTTCAAACAACAATTTGGCCCCCTGCGGCAGAGGTGGCTATTGAGGGCGTCCAGGCGTCCTCAAATTATTAATATTATCTGGTGGCTGGTGCTTGAAAATAGAAATAGTGATTAGTAATGGTATTCGGAAATATCTAACCGCAATATAAAGCTCTCTATTCATTCAAACGTTCAAATGTAAGCGCACACATGATCTTTGTGAAATGTTGTGTTTTAGGGTGTCCAATCCTCGTTTGGACAACTTAGACGCACAGTTTTAACACATAGTTAATTGTAAACGGTACAAAGCACATCAAGCGCATCCCACTACATGTAATCTATATGATTTGGTTGTCCAGGACACCTTGCAATCTAAACTGTTATGATACTGCGCGGCTGAGATCGTACACATGTGTGTCCTGTTTCACTCATGTTATAAGTTTTTGTTTTTGTTTATTTGCTGTCGCCTGTGACACATTACATACATGAGGCACTGTGGCCTGTGTGTAACTGTAATGTACGTTGGAATAATTTAATTAATTAATTAACTCTCTGCTATGGTAATGGTATTGTATGCAGTCATCGGTGAATAGACATCGGCAGTTTGGGGAGGGGGGGGGGGGGGAGATTGGGGCGGCCCCCAAGGCCCCCTCCCCCAGTCGGTCAGACATCCAACAAAACTGCCAGCCAGCTCCCATGAGCCGCCTCTGCCCTGCGGCCTGACAGCAAATCAGCGAGGCCCTTTGTTAATTGTTATTCAGGGTTAGGGAGCCCTTCGTTACGCCACTGGTGCAACTATATCAGCTGGTGGATTTAAACTCTGTTAGAACTTTCTATTGTACTAATTACAATATTTGCTTTCAGAAGATACCGTAGATGAATGTATTGGTATCGATTTTGGAGAAGAGCAGATTGGTAAGTCATTTCAATTTTATTTCTTGATTTGATATGCAATTCTGTTAATTTTTAGCCATTATCTAACTTTAGAATGTTAATTTAGGTTTACCTTTCTCATCTTAAAAATGAATAACCAACTTATGGGCGAAAATCTATCAAAATTGTTGTGTGTGTCCTAATACAATGATCATATTATTTTTGGTTCATAACTCGTTTGCTGTCCATAAAATGGGTTCTGATCACAAGTGTTTTTAACTGCTAGCTATAAGTATAATTCTGTTAATACCAATTAGGTGTGGTTGAATTTGAAGAAGAGGATAAAGATTTTTATGATGATGTACTATTTATCCTGAGTTTTGCTACAAAATACAATCTGCCTTATGTCGCAATAGAACATTTACTACACAAGATCATACCAATCGGTAAGAAAATAAATTAAATAAAAAGTTTGAAATCCATATGGACGGGATATAAGCACATTATTTCATTTCTTAATAACAAGAGGATTGCATCTGATACTCTATTGTTTAATTGAATAAAATTGCCTATTTAAACAATTATCATCGTTTTTGGCCATATGTTAAATTATATTGTACAGAGTAACATCTTTCAGGGAAATATCCAGAGTGCCAGTCGGTCAAGACGTTCAGAAACTGGATTAAACAGCAAGTACCACAGGCAAAAAGATTTTTTGTTTGCACTGGGAATTGTGATGCATACTACGAGGACACAAAAGACGGTCTTCCGGAACATTGCAGGAAATGCAATTCAAAACTCAATCGGGACAGTCTTTGTAAAACAGGGAATTTTTTCCTGTACACATCTGTTGCGCAACAACTCACTTCTTTGTTGGGACTGCTCGAAAACGAGCAAGCAGTTTTAAATTTCCAAGAAAGTATTAAAACTGCTCAATATTTAAATTATGTGAGTGATACGATCAACTCGAAACGGTATAAAGAGTTGATCATGGCTAATCCAACAAGTTCTGAACAAGACATCCCCTTCCTAAGCTTCTCTATGAACTTGGATGGGGTTCAAGCATCCAAGTCTTCTCAGAACTCTTTATATCCGTTAATGCTTGTTCTGAACGAACTTCCCCCGAATCTGAGGCAAAGAAACATAATCATACCGTTTCTTTTCATGAAACGCCGTGGAAGTAACACCAAGTTCCACACCAGCTATTTGGGGCCGTTTGTGGAGGAAATGAAGTTATTGGGAAGCAGCTTTAGTTTCGTCTCACGACAGCGGAACTGTAACATTTCATTACCAGTTTACGTTTACTCGCTAAATTGCGATTCGGTGATGAAGTGTGACCTGCTTCATCTCAAGGGAGTTACTGGATACTTTTCGTGTCCGAAATGCAAGCAGAAGGGCGAATCAGTCGCTAAGGGTAGATCTTCCACTGTTGTAAAACCTGCAACGTTGGGCCCCAAAGGAGAGTTGATCAAATATCATCCCCGCAGTAAGGAAAATTTCGATCTGTCCCTTGAAGATGGTGTTTGTAAAAAGTCGATACTCTCGTCACTTCCAATGTTTACTGACATTTTCTGCAATGCTGCCATCGATAGTATGCATGGAGTCTACTTGGGTGTCTTCAAACTGGCGGCGAAATTATGGTTTAAAGAAAGAGGACGACCTTTCTCCGTCTCCCCTGCTGGTTACAGGATCGCCAAAGATGTCATGCAGAAAATCACCCCTTCATCGTCGATTGTACGTGGTGTTAGAAGTTTGGATGAGAGAGCAGACTGGAAAGCAAGTGAATGGCGCAGTTTTGGGTACTTTTGGGCACCCTTGATACTCGAAGCTCTTGTAAAGAACAGTGCAATTGATCAGGTATACCTTGACAACTGGATCCTATTCACCAGTGGATTGTCTCTCCTCAACTCTGAAAATGTCAGTCCAGCGGATATTAAAGCTGCTCGAAAGTATCTGTCCAGTTTCTGTGTCCAGTTCACTTCTATTTACGGTAAAGAGTATGCCATTTTGAACCCACACCTCATGGTCCACGTGGCAGAATCAGTTGACTACTTGGGGCCTATGTGGTCAACGTCTCTGTTCATAAACGAGTCTTTCAACCAGACAGTCCTGAACTGCTTCAGAAGTGGAACAGGAGGTGTGGTTCAACAAATCTCTGAAAGATTCACCTGGAGAAAGTTGTCTGTTGATTTGCATTCCTGGTTGAAGCAGACAAACCTGAACTACCAAAATCCAATTGCTGAAGAATGCTGGAAACTAGGTGAATTTGCGGAAATCCAGGAGTGCAGTCAACCATCCAGTCGAAAGATAAACAGTATCGATCAAGTTGGTCGGTACTGTTTAGAATCGACTAGATTGCTTTTACCAGATGCAGAACATGAACCCATATTTTTTGACCGAATCAAGAAGAGTGGCATGCTCTTTACAACAAGGAACTACCACTTCAAGAAGAAGCTAAAAAACAGGGACAGCTTCTTCTATTCCACCAAGGGCAGCATTTTTGGTGACATCACTGAAATCGTTAGAATTGGAAATAATTATTTTGTTTTGTATAATGTTTTCAAAACTAACGACGCACAATTAAGTGTAGTAAATAAACTGAACTACGCACATTTTGGAGAATTTGGAGATTCATGCGACATCTTACCACTACGGGATGTTACTAAAAAGTGTACCATGTTACAATTTAGTTTTGGTTGTTGTTTGATGTATGATATGAACAATAAAGAAGGATCGTAATTAAATATCCATTTCAACAATTATTTTACTTCGGACATTCCAACAATTTTATTTAAACCTGCTAATTGCAGGTAAATTTTTAACATTTTGTTTATCCATACCTGGCATAGTATTTTCATTTGCGTAATCACTTCCCTTCACTCAACTCAATTTACCGTGCCTTTTTTCTTCCTCCCAAACTTCGTGGTGAATCAGGGTATTACTGTATTTTTTATGCCCCAAATCAACAAACATATATCTGTATAGCTAGAATGCAGACTACAATTAATGATTTGTGCGGATAAGATAAAGAAAGAAAGAGAAAAAATGGAGCTGAAGATGAACAAAGAAAGATAATGGGAGAGAAGAGGGAATAGATAAAAACGCAGATGACTGAAGTTACGGATTTTATTTGACAGGTAGTTACTAACTAATACATACTTTTTCTAAGATCTAGTTACGAATTAATACATGATCGAGTCAGGAAATCGCGTAAATTCTATATCAAATTTAACCTATTTTTAGCAGGCACGTATCCAGGATTTTTGTTTAGGGGGGGGGGGGGGGGGGGGGGGGGGGGCATAGCCCAATTAAATTTTATTGAATGAATAACATCACTAATCTATTTGTTGGACAGGATCACTATGGTTCCCCATTGATCTTGTGACTATGGATATAACACATTCCTACAGAGAACGACTACTTGATTCAAATGATTTACAGGCTGGTTCCGTTTATGTTTATCATATATACAGACCCTACTCAGTGAGATCATTATCATCTGTAGACTGTTTTAAAAATGCCCTAAAGACGATTTATTTCAACCTAGCTTTTGATAATATTTCCAATATTTGTCCATAAAGTATGGGCTGATATGGAAGTGGATAATGTTGGTAACTTCATACAAATATTTGTCCATAAAGTCTGAACTGGTTAAAAAAGTCCATAATCTTGGTATTTCAACACTAAGTCTCGCTTGAATGACTTAAATGTACATCTTTGTTGGGTATATTTTAATGTCGAAGCGTGCAATAAATGTTAGAATTTATTTATTTATTTGGACACGTTCATTTGATTTTGAGGATATTGGTAAATATAAGTGACCCTATTAAAAGGCACAGTGTAGTTGACTTTGTCACACTATGAAATTACACAAACCCTTGATGGTTAGGATAATCGTCTTATCCTCCAGGCTAACTTTGTCACTTAACGATATCTAAATCAGGTGATAAGATATCGCTTAAATACGGCCGGCACGGAAATGGTTACATTGTCACACTATAAACATGTGACGGAGTAAATATGGACCCCTTGCTGCCGTTTTTGACCAGATTTTTGAGTGTCCAGTTGATTGGATGGGTACATACAGGGTGAGTTGAAAATAGTGTGTGGAATGTAAATGGCTCTAATTTTTTTGACAAATGACCTTTCCACTTAATTTTTGGATATTTAGGTAATGAAAATATATACATATTATGATAATACAATAAAAATGCTTAATAATTAATAATTTGCTCAACCCATCGTCCTTTATTAGCTAGGACATATTGATAACGTGTAAGACAATTGTCTACAGCCGACTTGACTGTATTAAGGGGGCAGGGGGGGTCTTCATGGAAATGTTCTCAAAATCGACTTTTTAGTTGTTTCTGATAGAGGGGAGTAATATCTGTCAGATGCTTGTATGACCATTAAGTACATATTTGACGACTTATTTCGTTAGATGGTGCACTCAGGTTTACTCTGTCACACATTTAAGTAAACATGTGAAGAATGTTTAGGGCACCCTGATAAGCAATGCTGAGTAGTGTAGGTTTATTTAATGGCCTGGAAGTGCTAGGAATTGTTACTATATCATATAGTCGTAAGGAATTAAAACACAGAAGGCACAAACAAGTTTACTTTGTCACATAATCTTGATGATATCTGAACATGTGTGAAGTTGAACAAATAATGATATACCAGCTTAAACCCCTTATATTATGTACTATGGATCAAACAACACTGCTAGTACCACGCACCAGTCACATAAATCATTATCGGGTGGTAATATGTTAACAGTGTCACAATTAAAGTACTGCAACATGGTCAAAAATAGGGTTATTTCGTCACAAAAAAATTCTTATAACTCTGTTAGCTCCTTGCTGGCAAAATAAATAGTTCATTGATGATAAAGTTACATAGTATTCTAATAGAGGTATAGCTCTTCAAAATAGGGGCAAGACATGTTTACTTTGTCACATCAGTAATTATTATAGGAGTTAGGTAATTGTCATCAGATTAACAGATCTTTTTTTGTAGTTTGGATCGATTAATATAGGCAATTAAGCATCATATGTCAATTTTAACACACTATCTTGATATTGTTGGGGCAGGGAAAGTTAATTTTGTTACATTTTCAGTGTCTTTGACAAATTAATCTAAAATTGTTAAACTTGAGCTCTGATGTTCTAGACAATATTCTACCAATCGTTTCTGAAAGAATGCTGAATTCTAATAGAGTTATAGATCTTCAAAATAGGGGCAAGACATGTTTACTTTGTCACATCAGTTATTATTAGAGTTAGGTAATCGTCATCAGATTAACAGATCTTTTTCGTAGTTTGGATTGATTTATATAGGCAATAAAGCAGCCTTTGCTAATTTTTACACACTATCTTGAAATTGTTGGGGCAGGAAAAGTTAATTTTGTCACATTTTTAGTGACTTTGACAAATTTAACCTAAAATTGTTAAACTTGAGCTCTGATGTTCTGGACAATATTCTACCGATTTTTTTCTGGAAGAATGTTGAATTCTAATAGAGTCATAGAATATATAGATCTTCAAAATAGGGGCAAGACATGTTTACTTTGTCACATCAGTTATTATAATATATATAGTTATTATAAGAGTTATTATAAGAGACTATTTCATTCTATAATCATTGTTTTTAACCTATTTACGACATATCATTTTTTGTGACAATGTAAACATCAACTGATCTTAACTTGCATCAACTACATTGTCATCATATAAAGTTTTTCCGCCTTTCAAACCCAAATCAGATATAAATAATTCGCCCAAAATTTAAAATTCCATATATTGTGACAGAATTAACCTCATTTCCCAATAAATAAGTGCCTGTATTAGCTAACTATTCGAAACAAAATGTTTTAGGGCTATGATTGGTAGATCAACCATCAAATAATGAGTTAAAAGGTTTTTAAGGACACCTCACAGTAGAATAGAGGTATGGTATTCTGAGTGTGACAAAGTTACCCAAATATTGCCTTGTAACCGTTCGATCCGTGCCCTTTAACCAATGTTGTATCATAATTGTTAGATTGACCTAATCTACTATATTTCAGACCAAGGAATGATAATTAGACAACTGCAGTTAACTAAGTCACACAAAATGTGACATTTGAACCATTATAGTGCCTAACAACAATAAATTTTCTTTCTGAGCAGTGCATATGGGAGTATGGCCATGGGTTACGTGGCTAATGTTCAGAACTTCTGAACGTGCTAGGTTAATATATGTCAAAATTAAGCCATTATCGTCGAAAACGCTATCATTTTTGTTTACCAATATCCTCAAACTCAACAACAATTGACCCCCCGATAATTGACCCCCGACAATTGACCCTATGTAATTACCATAACCATAACCATAACCATAACCATAACCATAACCATAACCATAACCATAACCATAACCATAACCATAACCATAACCATAACCATAACCATAACCATAACCGTAACCATAATCATAACTAATTGTCATGCTAAGCCCTAGATTTCACAATTGACCCCAGTGTAATTACATAGGGTCAATTGTCGGGGGGTCAATTGTCGCGGTACCATCTGATCATGTGTCGACTTTCTCTACGCCCGCGATTTCTTATCTTTGCACCTGAACCTTGCACCTGAACCTTTCCAGTGTTTTTATGTAATAAGAAGACTCGTGCATTCTCTAGGGAGGCTCTGGGTCCATTGATTTCGTCCATTAGACAGAAGAGTACCATGTCAGGAATTGGAATAGTTGTTGATGATGGCAACTGATAATACTCCACCAAAAACGAACGACTTATATACCACATTTAAATCGTAATCATTTATATCATTGAGCAATATACTACGCTACAATCAATGCTATTCGTAACTAATTATATCTGAGAGACCACATTTGAATCGAAATCGATAGTTTGTTCCAGCAATTTACTACGCTACAATTAATGGCAAATTATGCTAGTCGTAAATTGCATCCAAGATACCATACATACCATTCAATTTCATAAAATTTGCGGTCATATGATCTGGTAACCAATCAACTATTCACGAACACCTGTTCGGAGAACAACTGTTCGGCGAACAGGGGTTGGGCTATCTGGATACTGCCTAGTATTGTTGAATAAGCGCTTCAAAAGTAAATGCATGGTTTTTAGCTAAGGCATCTAATTTTATACTTTTGTAAAAAAACATTTGAACAACGTTTTGATTGTAACTATAAATATAATACTACAACTTACAGCAATAAATCATTATATACTTACTCTTTATTGACTGACCTGGAATCTATTGTATTGATCATGGTTACTTTCTACAGAGCAAGCAGATCAATCTATTCAACAGCGAAGGAATCAAAATGAGATTAGATGGAGACCAAATTTTAGCTAAGGTAGCTTCCAACTAAATATACGTGCTAAAAATCTTTCATTTGGTATTTATCTTTACGATTGTATCGTCCGATTTGCAAGAATAACGCGTGTGCAATAAAATGCATTTGACTGGCATGGTTTTCTTGGCGCGATAGACAAATTGCTGGGTAATAATGGTGATCGCGCGCTTGAACCGCGCACACCGTGCGCGTATATTTGATGTTAGCCCGGCGAAAATTTTAGCCCGACGAATGTGCGGACACCTTAACCCGGCGAAAGGCTGCTTTCGCCTGGCGAGTTATCCCGGCGAAAATCTTCGTTCGCCGGCGAATGGGCTGACTGGGTGGGACTTCACTATCGCGGCAGTGGAAATGCAAAAGTATAAACCCGCGTATTAATATTATATTTGATTGACACACGCTGCAACCCCTTTTGATCGCGCGGCGCACGAGAGGTATACAACGTGTAGCAAATATTTGAAAACAGGCATAACATTGTCGTATGAAGTATAAGCTCTCTTTGTAGCGCGATAAGATGCACTACTTACTAACTGGGCCGCGCCGCTCATCTTCTCGCAACTTCAGTAGATCGGCGAAATGCACCAGTGGGCCTCACGCCGAGCTGCACGAAGGATTGACATCGTGAATCAAGAACAGTCCAAACAGACCGCAATGCGTGCAATCCCCCCTAATAAGTTTATAGTATTATCTTGAGGCTAACCTAATTATGATTACCAACGCTACATAATATGCAGTAACGGGAGATATATTGAAACCCTATTGAGTTCTATTGTTTTGAGCAATTGAGCGAAGTCAGTTTTGCAAATATCGCGAACTGAGATATGGGCAATTTTGTTCATTTTTTGCGATTATTTGAACACAGAATCCACACACCACAGTTAGGTAGATACTGAGCTGAAAATTATAGATAATGTGTAGTATAGGCTTACCTTTCATGTAAAGTTAGTTTCATTTAAAAATATTGATATTTGACCAATATATGGGCCAAAATCGATCAAATTTGGTGCGTATGCCCAAATATGGTCATATGGTTTTTTGCTCATAACTCAGTCATTTTTTGTTAAATCTTGATGAAAATTTATATACGAGTTCAGGGGACCACTAGCTACAAGTAGAGCACCTAAAATCTGGATTTTGGGCATGTTCAGGGTATTTGGCTAAATTGGGCCTAATTTGGACAAAATATGGGCGTGGCTGCCCCGCGAGCACCGTTTGGCGGTTGGGGTCCGGGACCCCCTCAAAAGTTCGGTCACTGGTCCTAGTTTGTTGGTCTGCTATCTCGAAACCAAGTTTCACAAAAATATCAGGGTGAACCCCCCCCCTCCTTAATTAAAAGGTCACCCATTGTAAAAATATGAAAAACACCTGACCAAATTATCTTTTAAATGCTTTTGTAATTAACACACAGAACATACTTTAAACTGAAGATGCAGCTAGAACAGGTCTGCTCTAGAACAGTTTGTGAATGACGCTATTGTTGTATATTAGGCGAACGATAACTATATTGTTGTTATCTCGACTTAACGACAAGGTGTAAAGTGGGCCAACTATTATCATACTAGCTCCTTTTTGTTATGTTGACGTTCGAAGCAGACTTACTTTGCCTTTAATTGAACATAATTTAAGAGTTTGTCAGGATACTGATAGGTCACAACATCTCACGAAAGCCATCCGACTGCCTAAACCTAAGATGAGAAGTATGTATGATACCGGGCGAAAAGTACGTACTTGTACTTTATTTTGAAAAGTACGTATGATACCTCAGTGTACGATTCAAAAAATTTTCAAACTTATTTTCACAGGCGCGATGTAACGTTTTTTAGATCCGACGTTTTATTTATTGGAAACTCCCGACTTCCACGATTGAAATTTCATTGTCATGATGGTTTTGAAAGCCATATTCATGGAGATAATAGAAACACTCAATCGCAGATAACAAAGAAAGTTTAATAAGCTTCATCATTTCATTAAAACAAAAAACAATGAACTTTCTAGCATCATCATTTCAACAGATCAAATTTACTTTCAGCTTTAACGTTTCAGTATTGCATTAGAGTTGATGTAGATCAATTTGTTGAATCTCTCAGGCTTAGTGCGTAGTCTTCTACTGCAGTAGATATACTCCATGTACTTATAAGACTCTGAAATCGCGCGAAATTTTTAAAACCGCGCGAAAGTTTGACACGTGCACTTATACATTATTGTATCTGCGTACTTTTCCGCAGTATTTTAAAAGTACGTACTTGTACGATACTTTGAAAAGTACGTATGATACATACTTCTCATCTTAGGCCTAAACAATATAGAGCTGTATTTGCAGCAAATTTTTAATTTATTGAAGCTTTGAAGGATAATCTGGTAATGTGGTAAAGGTATGGCGCCGACGAGATGGGCGACCACTTTTTCCATTGATATCTTTGTGGACATCATTCCTATGTGTTTGACCGTTAACTGTAACATTTACATAGCTTACAAGGAATTGTAGAGGGTTTGAGACGATCGTCACAATTTTGTGGTATTTATAAGATTATATTCTGTATTTTTTAATCGAAGAAACAAGCCTGATTTAAAACCACATTATATCAGTTTATGTTTATAGCGATGTTTGAAGTCGGCAACATAACAGAAATCAGGGACATCATGCCCATCCTCGGGATGAGTACACCTTGCTGGGGTTTCCTCTGTTTCTACAATGTTTTTGTAGTGGTCGGTGGCATTGTCGGCAACTTCATCATCCTCAACTCTTCTCTTATCCACCATGCCATCAAGTTTGATAAGGTCACCCTCCTGTTTGTACACAATCTGGCGGTAGCAGATCTGGTGATGATCCTTCTGATCTACGTGCCCATGTTGAGTTCTCTCGTGAACAGAAGATGGGTCCTGGGGGAAGGGATCTGCTGGTTTGTAGGGTATTTCTTTGGGGTACCCATAGTATACGAGGTGCTATCAGTCTTCATTATGTCCGGTAATTTAAATAAACACTGTATAAGTATTGATTAATTGTATTTGTAGCAGTTATGATTTATTGATTCCTATAATATTCATTAATAATCAATAATCACATGGATGATCATTGGTAACACCATTCATAGTTCGTATTACTTTTAAGTCGAAATACAGTCTAATAAACAAATATCAGTTTACAGATTTTGCCTGATTATGCGGAGTAAACGCATAAACGAAGATACGGCCGTGAAGGCTGTTAAGATTTTCCTGGCAGTTTTGTTGGTAACCTTGGTAGGATTCCAACTGTACACCGCGGTGGTCGGCTACCCACCCTTCTTCAAGCCTGATCTCCTCATCTGCATGTCTGGCGTCTACAAAGCTAAAGACACCAACGGAACCCTGCTCACCGTCCTCAATCTGGTGCTTACAGTTGTTCCCGTTATCTCTATGGTTCTTCTCAATATGGGTTTAGCAGTCAAGCTGTGCCTGCACGGAGCTAGAGTGAAGAGGTCTGTTCCTAGACGGACCTTGGTTGCGCTAGGAACAGTCACCTGGTGTTTTGCTGTGTCTTACAGCTTCGTTATCGGTCACCTAGTGTTGGAAAAGGTGACCGGTCAGATGCCGTGGTACGAGTTGACGATGATGTACTTGCTCGGAGGAAATGTGTTGTGTAACCCGGTCATCTATTTTGTTACCAACAAACGGTTCAGGAACTTCGTCATTAAGGGCAAACTGAGGTCCTTGGCTGTCAGTATTTCAAGGGATACGAGGAGCAGTAAGAGTCAGAGTAATGCAGAGAAATATTCAACGGAGAATGAACCAGGATGAACAGAAATTTAGATAATGTTCAGGTAGGCGGATAGTGCCAGAACATATACACAATACAAGCCGAAAAGAAAAGAGCATAAACAAGAATGGACATTTCGGCTGTTACAATCAACAACCTCGAATTAATGGGACTGCTTATTGTGTTGGAGAACTTATGACTATGTTTATAAAACATTATGACATCGTGACGGGGGAGGAATCTCTCCTGGCTAAGTAAATAGTGGTTTTTCAAGAAGCTAGCTGATAAACTGTTTAGAAAGTCTGCTCAACGATATAGTAAGGCAATGACATTTATCAGGAAGATAGTGAGATTTGAACTCTGATAAAAACAGTCATAGATCTCTCTATCAGAGGGGAAAGAGGATTGGAAAAGTAGTAGTGATGTTAAAATAGCATATTTTGACATAGACTTAGAGCCTGTTATAGTCTGTACATTGAATTTGCTATGGGCTCCATATATTGTGGAGCGGATTTTTGTATAAAAGAATTCTGGTCAAATTTTTAGAATTTGTTCTGTTTTATTTAATTTCTTGTTTGATTTGAAAATTGTTCAGGGTATCTGACCTGGGAAATGACGATTGCAGAAATTATTTGTGTATATTGTTTGAACTTTGAATAACTTCTATTCACTTGTTAACTTTAGAGTTTCATTTTTTAAAAGAGATGATTGAATTTATTACAGACAAATATTCAAACTCGGTGAAAAATGCGATCAAAATTAGATGAAAATCATTCCATTGCACAGTTGAATACCAAAAAGTTTAAGAGTACACAATTTGTATTTAATCATTAATGTGATATTCAGTGTTTTTTCAGAGTCTCCAATATGGCACCTTGATCAGATTCAGCTGCAACTAGGTTATGGTTGATACCAGCATAAGTAAGGCATTCCAGCAACCATTACACTTGTTGAGTTGTAGTTGTATCCCACAGTTTGAGTTGCTTTTCCAGGAAAGCCAGTAACCGCCACTTCAGCCTTGCAGATGATCAGTAAGCTTGCACTGGTCGTCACATTTCTCTCCATTCTCTTTGTGGATTACAGAATTGGCTGCTGATCCCTTTCTGCCATCAAGCGCACTATAGCATATAGACACACTAATTGTTATGATTTTGACAACAAATCACTGAAACTTGAAACTGCAAACCTGGCCTGCTCCCAGTTACATAATATTAATTAACGATAAGCTTACACAATAATTTATTGACATTGGTTGGATCTTCAACTCAACAAAGTCACTCATGAAACAAGAATCTTACCGTAACTATAGTCAAATATAATCCTACGCATGACGAAGTAACTGTAAATTAGATATTTGTTTGCAATTGACTAATTTTTAGCCACGCAAACGTGTGATAATATTAGTATCGGTTCCCTTCAGGCGTATCTTGCTATGCTGACAATTTTATTAAATCGGAGCTCATGACGTTATGTAATAAACAAACCAAAGTCAAATGATCTTCTGTAATGATTTACCTTGTGGTTACCTTGAAATAATAAATAGCCACATAATATCAATCAATTCATAATTCGTCGGTTTAACTTGTCAACTAATATTCAAATCGTATCGTGATGGAGGAAATTAAGGATTTCCTGAAAGGTGACTCTTCCTCCTCTTCCAGCTCCTCTTCCAGTTCGGGTGATGATACTCTTCAGAACTACTCGGGTAATGAAGAAGAGAAGATCCAGAAAAGGAAGACTAGAAGAGACAGGAGACAGACTGAACGCAGGGCGCTCAGGGAGAAAAGGAGGGCTGAAAAGAAAGCGAAAAAAGAAAAAGGGTCAAAGGACGGGCCAGAATCACAAATCATCCTCGAAAGTAAGCATTTTGCTATTAATCGACGTAGATTGTAAATTAAAATATGATTATTTACAAATAATATTGCCCTACAAAATATAAAAATTCCTGCGAATGCGTAAAAGTAAAACGAATATTAGAAATTAGAAATATTAGAAATTGGTAATAGATTCAGTGTTTTCAGGTATCAGTATTTTTATGGAAAGCGTGAAGCTAATTTAATTATTGTGAAGGTCATCTTTAAGACTATGTTACTACTACTAGTGTTATACTGGTGTGATGGTACAATTATGATCACACCACAGTACGTTAATTCGATGAATTTTAATGGTACAATTTTGCAAAATTAACTGCGCAACTACTAGCGAACATTTTACTTGTAGTTGTTTTAACATGGTGTTTCTCTCGAACGTTCTAAAAACTGCTTTTAGCGGACAAATAAATTCCGGCCCGCCTAAGAAGATGTGGGGGTTATATTAGGAGATGTGGGGGATATATTAGGAGATGTGGGGGTTATATTAGGAGATGTGGGGGATATATTAGGAGATGTGGGGGTTATATTAGGAGATGTGGGGGATATATTAGGAGATGTGGGGGATATATTAGGAGATGTGGGGGATATATTAGAGATGTGGGGGTTATATTAGGAGATGTGGGGGATATATTAGGAGATGTGGGGGTTATATTCGGAGATGTGGGGGTTATATATTAGGAGATGTGGGGGTTATATTAGGAGATGTGGGGGATATATTAGGAGATGTGGGGGATATATTAGGAGATGTGGGGGATATATTAGGAGATGTGGGGGATATATTAGGAGATGTGGGGGATATATTAGGAGATGTGGGGGTTATATATTAAGAGATGTGGGGGATATATTAGGGGATGTTGGGGTTATATATTAGGAGATGTGGGGGTTCGGCTGAATTGTTTCGCCAATGTATTATAGGTCGTGGTTGCTTAGTGATACACTGATATAGCATGCTTTCATTCGAGGCTAAATTTGTCTTTTATTTCTCTCTCATTAATCTCTTAATATGGCCATGATCATTTTTAAATGCTTTATTTATCTCTGCCCTTGCAAAAATTCCAAATTCCAGCAATGATTCAGTGAAGCTGTACAGTAAAAAAGTTTTGCGGCTGGAAAAGTAGATGAAACTATCAAGTACTTGCAAGTTTGCACGGTAGAATTTGCACACTAAACAATCTATTTATAAAAGTAAACTCATCGATTCCGCATGAGGGCGCGAAGGGTTTGGTATTTCTGAGCAAAATTTTGAGTCCCGGGTAGATGTCTAAAACTCATAAAAGTTCCTAACAGCTATTTTGAATGTAGTCCTTTGCTCACCGCACCAGAACTACTTAGGAGAATGGAGAGTAACTCTGGAAGATTGATAATCAGGAAGATTGATAAACATATTTCATGAAAATTCAACGAGAGGCGCCACTTTGAGTCGCTGAAAGCATTTTTGAATTTATTTCGGCAAGATCTGACAAGCGCCATTAGCTATTTAAGTTTTAACTGCACCGTGAACATTCGGAGTAACACTAAGATCAACGGTTCGCCGACATGTTAAACCTTTTATTAAATATATCATAGCCATCAAAGTAGAGTAAATATTAAGTAAGTAGTCTATTTGTCGACAGGGTTAAAGTAACAACTTATTTGTTATTTATTGAATACTACTAGTATTATAAAGTAATCGCTAAACTCCGCTAGTATCATACTTTTGGAGTCAAGTAACTACAGGCTATGAGACTTGAATATTATAAAGCTAAAGATATAGTGGGTAATATCTGTATCTGCATTCTGTATTTTTATCTGTATCTGTATCCTTTCTTACATGTCCTGTCACCTGTCACTATTGCATGGAAAATGAAGATAATCGAAATAATATGAATGCATATAAGGTGGTACGTGGAAAGGTATAATGTATAAGTTTATTTTCAAAAACTTGTGCTGGCACAAATAAATATTAATAAAATAGTACATCAATAGCTTAACTGCAAGTTTTAACTGTGCTGAGTAGGAATAGAGCCAAAAGACACTTTCATGGTTTTCTTCGAAATTGTTAAAAGTATTGTTATAACCATAACATAAAATTAAAACATTAACTACTGAGTATCATGATTTCAAGGGCCAAATATTGTTGCTTTGGCCAATTGGTGTTACAGTGTCCCTAAAATTTATTTCACTCGTTCAATTTTCATTTTTTATGACATCCCAAAATCTTTTAAGCAGATTAAATAATATCATAAATTAAGAGGCAGTGAAACTAGCGGGCTGCAGTATTGTAGTATATGATATTTTTTGTGGATTCACTTTAAAAGTTTTTCCTGGAAAAGGTGTTGATTTCAATTATTATAGAGAAATATATTTACTTCCAGCTTTTCTAACCACTTATAACATATTAGGTCCTGAACCGTGCTCGAAAGAACCAGAAATGTCAATTTGCGGAGGTGAGTGCATTGTCAATCTGGTGCAGAATTATTTTAATGAATTTAAAAATAGAACAATAGATAGGGCACACCTTCTTTTGGGCGAGCGTGCTAAATCAATCTACACTCGATCTTCGAGATGTTTCTAAAAGGGCCCCTTTTAAATGATTAATCATCGTCTTCTTTTGGGTTCCCTAGACGAGGGAGAACATGCAACATTTTTTGGAAAATATGCTTTGAGGAATGAATTCTAGTATTGAGGAGTGTAAATTTTGGGGGAATGAGAGCATATTACTATTGAAAGGGATTTTGCAACCCTTGAATAGCTTAGGTCTGCACCCCTGAATAGTTGATTTCCCTACCGGAACCTTTTCAATACCTACATATATTATTAATATTAGTGCTGTCACGTTTAAAACAAAGATCGAGTAAAATGATAAATTAGGTAACAGAGACGATTGAATCATGATTAGTGACCGTCTGGGTTTGAACTTCACAACATTTTCAGGTCCAGAATCGTGTTATCAAGGTGAATCAAAAGCAGACTATGAAGTCGAAATTGTAGCAATTTGCGCAGGCAAGTGTTTGGGAATTAATAAGTTGAAATCCCACTTTATGATTAAGTAAGACGGACCTTGGAAGTCAATTGTATCTGTATCATTTTTATTTTATTGGACAATTTTAACATATTAGGTCCTGAACCGTGCTCGAAAGAACCAGAAATCGCAGTTTGCGGGGGTTTGAAAGAATCAGAAATCTCAGTTTGCGGGGGTTTGAAAAAACCAGAAATCTCAGTTTGTGGAGGTTCGAAAGAACCAGAAATCTCAGTTTGCGGAGGTTCGAAAGAACCAGAAATCTCAGTTTGCGGAGGTTCGAAAGAACCAGAAATCTCGGTTTGCGGAGGTTCGAAGAACCAGAAATCTCAGTTTGTGGAGGTTCGAAAGAACCAGAAATCTCAGTTTGCGGAGGTTCGAAAGAACCAGAAATCTCAGTTTGCGGAGGTTCGAAAGAACCACAAATCTCAGTTTGCGGAGGTTCGAAAGAACCAGAAATCTCAGTTTGCGGAGGTGAGTGCATTTGAGAAAACCAACAAATTCAACTGCTGGTGTGGAATAATTTTAATGAATTGAATTAATTAAAATTATAAATTAGGTGACAGAGACGATCGAATTATGATCGGCGACCAGTGGGTTTGAACTTCACAACATTTTCAGGTCCAGAATCGTGCTATCAAGGTGAATCAAAAGTAGACCATGAGGTTGAAATAGCAATTTGCGCAGGTAAGTGTTTCGAAATTATAATAATAAAATTCCACATTTAGTAAGACGGACCTTGGAAGTCAATTGAATCTGTATCATTTAAAAAAAACTTGATTTAACATTGAAGCCTTTATAACACAT